TTTAAAAAGGAGAACAAAGAGGACATGGGGAATTACAGATTAGTGAGCGTAACTTCAATACCTTGAAGGATACTGGAATAAATTATTTATCGATCAATTTGTTAGTATTAGAGGATAATTGGGTGATAAGTAATAACCAGCATGGATTTGTCAAGAACAAATCATGCCAAACTAACCCAATTTCCTTCTTTGACAGGGTTACTGGCCTAGTGAATAGAGGGGAAAGCAGTAGGTGTGATATATCTTTATTTTAGTAAGGCTTTTGACACGCAGTCCCTCATGACATATTCAAAGTGAACTAGGAAAATGTAGTCTAGATCACATTACTATAAGTGCACAATTGTTTGAAAGATTGTACTCAAAGAGTAGTTATTAATGGTTTGCTATCAAACTGGGAGGGTGTATCTAGGGAAGTCTTGCAGGGGTCAATCCTGGGTCTGATATTATTCAATATTTTCATTAATGATTTGGATAATGATACTGGTGAGTGTGCCTATAAAATTTATGGATGATACCAAGCTTGGAGGGGTTGCTAGCACTTTGGAGGACATAATTAGAATTCAAAAGGACCTTGACAAATTTGGTGCACTGGTCTGAAAGCAACCTGATGAAATTCAATAAAGCCAAGTACAAAGTGCTTGGGCTAGAAAGGAAAAATCAAATGCACAACTATAAAATGGAGAACAACTGGCTAGGTGATGGTACTGCTGAAAAGGACCTGGGGGTTATAGTGGATCACATATTGAACATGAGCCAACAACGTGATGCAGTTGCAAAAATGGTTATTATTATTCTGGGGTGTATTAACAACAGTGTCATATGTAAGACACAGGAGGTAATTGTCCTGCTCCTCTTTGCAACTCAGCTGGAGTTGTGTCTCCAGTTTTGGGGCCATACGTTACGAACGTGGACAAACTTGAGAAAGTCCAGAGGAGAGCAACAAAAATAATAAAAGGTTAGAAAACCTGATGTGACGTTATTGACAAACTGTGACCTTATAGATCATTGTTGTCACCACTGTTATGTATTTGCAGCAAATATTGTACAAAGGTGGTCTTGTGAGGGGTCTATAAAAAGGATATGATTTGCTGGTTATGATTACGCTATCTGTGTGCATGTATCATTTTTGTATTTAAAGTTATAATTATGGCTCTATCCTGTCTGTATTTCAAACCTGTGCTATGCTTCTGGGTGACACCCCAGACAATGTGGCGTCAGCACTGCCTAGCCTGCTTGATGGCCCATTAAGGACCATCAGCTATACAACTGACCCATTGAGAGAAGGCAGATACACCTTGTGACTCAGCAAGGTATGCAGGGACATGCCTATGGACAGAACTCTAAGGTTTTTCCAGGCCATGTGCTGAGTGGCTTGTGGTTGGAACAAAGAAAGCACAAGCCACATGGCAAAAGGACTATAAAAGGCAGCAGCATCTCCATTTTGTCTTCAATCCTGCTTCTTACTTCTGGAGGAACCTTGCTACAAACTGAAGCTCTGAACAAAGGACTCAATGACCCGTCCCAGCTGGGGATGTTCCAGAGACTTGATTTGAACCTGCAGTTTATTCCATCACTGCTACCAGCCTGAACCAAGAACTTTGTCATTACTGTATGTAATTAATTCCATTTAACCAATTTTAGCGCTCATCTATATTTCTTTCTTTTATGAATAAACCTTTAGATTTTAGATTCTAAAGGATTGGCAACAGCGTGATTTGTGGGGAAGATCTGACTTGTATATTGACCTGAGTCTGGGGCTTGGTCCTTCATGAGAACCTTTTTTCTTTTACTGGGGTATGGGTTTCAATAACCATTCGTCCCCATAATGAGTGGCACTGGTGGTGATACTGGGAAACTGGAGTGTCTACGGGAATTGCTTGTGTGACTTCTGGTTAGCCAGTGGGGTAAAACCCAAGTCCTCTCTGGCTGGCTGGTCTGCCATGCATTAATAGGAAAGGAACTCCAGATTTGGGCTGTAACTGCCCTGCTCTAAGCAATTTGTCCTGAATTGATACTCTCAGTTGTGTCCCGCCAGAGGCAGCATCGTTACACCTGATCTATGAGGAAAGCTTAAAAAAACTGAGCATATTATAGTCTTGAAAAAAGAAAATTAAGGGGGGACCAGATAACAGTCTTCAAATATATTAAGGGCTGTTATAAAGAGGACTGTGATTAATTGCTCTCCATGTCCACTGAAAGTAGGACAAGAAGTAACGAGCTTAATCTTTAGCAAGGGAGGTTAAATATGAGGAAAAGCTTTCTAACTATAGGAGTTGTTAAATTCTGGAATAGGCTTCCAAGGGAGATTGTGGAATCCCCATCTATGGTGAAGCAGAAAAAATGCTCACCGGCATGGAAGAGGTTAAAGAGAGCCTTTGGGCCTAGCTAGCCCCGCCCCCATTATACCTGCAGCCAATGCCAGGCCTGGAGGGAAGAGAAAAGGACAGAGCCTGGCTCAGTTTGGGGCTGACTGGCGAAGAGGCAGGAGCTAGCTGCTTCCCTACCTGAGGGAAGGAGAACTACCTGCCCAGCTGAGGCAGCCACCAGGAGCCAAGCACCCTCTTCCTGGCCAAAGGAGACAGAGAAAGAGGTCTAGGAGCACCCAGCCTAAGAGGAACCTGGGTGGCGAAAGCACAGAGCCCTTGTGGGGGTTCCGAACCCACCAAACTTACACCTTCCACGCCTGGAGGAACCTGGGACTGCAGCAGGACGCCACCCAGTGTCCATGAGAGGGCACTACTAGAGACAAGCCACCACGGGAACTTGGATTACAGGGGCCATGCCCTGAAGGGGCAACAGTAGGAAGTAGCCCAGTGCAGCGGATGTGGACTCCCCGCTGGGAGGTCCCCTACTCAGGGATTGACTTACATAGGGCCCTGGGCTGGGACCAGCTGGAGTGGGAGGGCCTGGGTCCCCCTACTCCCCTGCCTTCAAGATTGAGGCACCTCAACCACAGAAACAGGGGGCAGGAAGTCAAGTACTCCATCCACTAGGCTGACTGGTCCTCCAAGCCCCGTATTACAACATCATTGAAGGTTTTTCAGAATAGGTTGGAGAAACACCTGTCCAGGGATGTTCTCGGTTGACTTGGTCCTGGCCTCATTGCAGGGGGCTGGACTTGATAAGCTCTTAAGGTTCCTTCCTGCCCTACATTTCTATGATTAAAAGCTCAGTAAATTCTGAACTAAAGTTTAAACTTTAAAGAAACCCAAAATAGTTTGAAAATATAGAAATGTAAGGTCACTCAAACACCTTTATTCCCACAATGATGCCAGCCTACCTTCTTTGTTCCTGTCATATTTTGTAAGATTTGAGATATATATATATATAGAGAGAGAGAGAGAGAGAGAATTTGTTTTCAAGGGTGTGACACAAACATGCCCTTACATACCCAGGCAGGTATATTACCCATGTCTGACCATCTTTTCAATATTTCACCCAAGGGTGTTGTTTGTGATCTTAGCTTTTGGCAAAGAACTAGCTGATTGTCACGGTTATTGAGTGATATTTGCATAGGAAATAATTTTAGAGTTATATAACATGTTAATATTGGGTTTCAAAACTGTTAAAGTGAAGCTTGTCACCTGATTTGAGGCGGGTCGTAGGGCTCACTCAATCAACATTGAGAACAACGGACATCCATTGAGCCAGCCTATGTTTACTGTCTGGAACAGGTGTAGGCTTGAGGATTTAGAAAGACAAAAGAACCCTAAGAAAACACTCTGATTAGGGGACCTCTTGGGTAAGAGGCAATAGTCTGTAACTGTATAAGAGATGACAGAAGAACACAAGATGTGGTATTCTCGAGCAGGGGCATCTCTCATAAAAGATGGATCCCAGCTTTCTGGACTGGACAAGTGCTGTAGCAACTAACAATTGACTGAGCAACACCTGATTAGATAGGAAAAAGTATAAGCTATAGAGCGTCTTTTAGGTTTTTCTTTTACTTGTTACCTTATGTTTCCAAACCCTTACGCTTGCTTTTATTTTAATCTCAATCTTAACATCCGTTAAATAAACTTCCATTTGATTTTACTATCGACTCGTCTAAAAGCCTTGTGCACAGGAGAGTGTTGTACTGAGGTGAAACCAGAGGACTGAGGTGCACTGCCTCCAGAGACAGCACATGGGCGTACACTGCAGGTGTCCAGAAGATAAGGGACTGGGCACTTGAGTGTAATAAAGTGGAGTGTATAATTTGCTAGGGTGCAGAGGGAAAGAGCAGACCTTGCAGAGCATTTGTTTTGCCAGCAGTCAGTGGCTGGGGAGAGTCTCCCGAGGTGGCATAGACAGGTCTCCCTCCCACTGTAAGCAGGTGGTAGTGATTCACCCTGGACACCTCAGATAACCCTTTAAAGCGTTCAAAAGGGCTTTCAGAAGTCTGTATCCTACAGACCAGTGCTTCTCAAGCTATCTGATGTGGGGGACCAGCAATTTTTTTTCCCCCGATGTGCCAGGGACCGGTGCCATATTATTATCCTATTCGACGCTCTTATGAGGAAACTCACCGCGGACCGGCAGCCGATGGCTCGCGGACCGGCACCGGTCCGCGGACCACCACTTTGAGAAGCACTGCTATAGACCATACACTGATACTGTGTTAATTTACTGTATGATCCAGTGCCTACTGAACATAATGGCAAAGCTTCCGTTGACTTCATTTGTACAGTAGGATCAAGCCTTGAATGAATGAATGAAATTTTATGAAGGATAACAACTGTCAAATAAGTTTCAGGTTTTTGCAGTTTTGTTTCACTTTCTTTGAACAAAATCTTAGTTTTTAAATATAAATTGAGTATCTTTTGTAGCCAGTAGATGGCATGCATTACCAGAAAGACTAAACTAACATAACAAGATTCATTCCAGTAGCATGATTGCTGGATGAGCAAGAAAAATGTAGCTAATTTTCCAAAATGTAACAATTAAATACAAAGTTTGTGTGACTAATGGTGGAAATAGAAAATTTAAAATAATGGTTAAATTTACTTGAAAGTACTTACATCTTAGTTTGTCTTGTATTTTCCCACCACACATGGTTGCTAACATAGCTTTAACTGAAAACACTGTCAACTTCCCATGGCCCTCACTGAAAAATAAAATACATGATAAATCATTACTATATGGAATGATAAGAACAAAAATATTTCAGGGTCAGAAGAAAAGTTCATTTATGACTTCCCTAACTGCTATGCTTTATAAAACTATTTAACAGTTAACATAATGCAAAAAATGATAGTAACATTTAGCTTTGTCAATAAATTAGAACAGCTAACAGGTAGCCGATGACAAATCATGTTCTCTTGCAGAATTATGGGCATTCTATTGATGAAGAGAGGCTTGCATTTGTTTTACCTGTCCCACACTACCTACTACATGGTGGTACCTGATTATTAGGAGTCATTCCTTTCTGTTTAGAATATGCCTGTTTAATTATGCTTCTTGCTTCTACTGCTGCCCTTTCTCGGGAATTCCAACTCTTTATGAACACTGACTGACGCTCAGAGAAAGAGGTGGTATTCTAACAAAACAAGTTAGGTAACAAGATATTCTGAACATTCTGAGTAGAACAGGAACAAACATGGATGGTTGTTATTCTAATTAAAGCCACCTAGACTGCTGCACTATCACGAACAGATGGCACTGTCAGGCAACCATTTCCTAATGTCAGCATGAGAAAAAAATTGTACTAATTCCTTATAAAAACAATGGAAAGATTTTATTCAGCACAAAGTGGTATGCAAAAACAACTATTCTCATTTAAAAAAAAAATCACAAAATGCTTTACAAGGAGGTAAAACACAAACAACATATAGTAACAGAGGATTATAGAGGCTATAAAACTGTGATCTCAGGATAAAGCCATTGTTAATGCTCAGTATGGAGTTAATTTAGTAGTAGTTGAACATAAATTAGGAGTACCAAGAGCATGTACATGAGAGTGGATAAGCAATTAATAAATTCTGAGCACTATACTCCTAAATAAAATTAATTATCTATATCATACTGTATGCTATGGATAATACTTTACAGATTTCTTACAGCAACTCAGAAAAGACAAGATAGTATACATGTGGAAGAGGAAACTTGGATCCTCTTCAACCATTTCCTTCTGGAGAGGAGACTCCATCTCTTCTAGAAATAAGATTTCAGAAGAGAAATGGGGGATTGGAGGCAGTCATTCTGGATGACATGCAGGACCCCATTATCAGATGTTCTGTTCCCAAGATGGTAGGAAATAGACCAAGTGATCTCTAAAGGGAGAAAACTAAATGTATTTAGTTCTGTACTCCCAGTAGACCCACCAAAACAGAGGCTGGAAGGCTGAAGATTGTGGCTGCCTCCAGAAAAACATTTCAGTCATCTTGTTTTATTTCTGTATTGTCTCTTAGCAGCTTGTTGAAGAGGCTGCCTATGAGAAACTGGTATTTCATCTGTGCAAAGGAAGATAGAAAACATTGTCTTGGTACGCGAAGCCTCAAAAAGAGAACCTCCTCTTGGGCAGGGAGGTTGGGTCAGCCATACAGCTCTCGCAGCTGACCTTGCCTCCTTAGGGTACATCTACACTTATCGTAGGGTCGGCGGCAGGCAATCGATGTTCTGGGATCGATTTATCGCGTCTGGTTAAGACGCGATAAATCGATCCTGGATCGATCCCGGAAGTGCCCCGGATCAATCCCGGAAGTGCTCGCCGTCGACGCCGGTACTCCAGCTCGGCGAGCGGAGTACGCGGCATCGACGGGGGAGCCTTCCTGCCGCGTCTGGACCCGCGGTAAGTTCGGACTAAGGTACTTCGAATTCAGCTACGTTATTAACGTAGCTGAATTTGCGTACCTTAGTCCGAAGTGGGGGGGTAGTGTAGACCAGGCCTAAGTGTGCTGTAAGGTCCATTTTATTGCTGAACATTCTTTCTTTCTTTCTTTCTTTCTTTCTTTCTTCCTTCCTTCCTTCCTCAAGGGGGGATAGCTCAGTGGTTTGAGCATTGGCCTGCTAAACCCAGGGTTGTGAGTTCAATCCTTGAGGGGGCCATTTAGGGATCTGGGCCAAAATCAGTACTTGGTCCTGCTAGTGAAGGCAGGGGGCTAGACTCAATGACCTTTCAAGGTCCCTTCCAGTTCTAGGAGATTGGATATCTCCATTAATTAATTAAAAAGATCACAAATTTGAACTGGGCATCCACAGAAAGACTAGATGAGTTCAACCATGAATGTCTGTAAAGAGGCTATAAATCTTGCCCCTGCATCAAAAATGTCATATGCTACCTTCAGAGGCTGAAGGCAAGTTTTTTTTTCCTTGGGCAACATCCTTAGCCAGCTTCTGCTGGATATACGGCGATTGGTCAAGAAAAGGAAGGAGCTGCATAGCTTGCCACCTCAATACCCAGAGTTGACTTTCCTGCCAAAGGCGTCCAATCTTCTCCCTTCCCTGCGTGGAGGGGCAGAGAATGAAGTTCTCAGAGACTTTGCTATGATAACTAATGCATTTGCAGGAGGGTAAGCAACAGAACTGAACCTGGAGGACTTGGTATAAAACAACCATCCATCTTTTGCCTTTGCAAGCATGGTGGTAAGGGATGCTAAATGTGCCCCTTTGGATAAAGAGCATTACCTTCCTTTTTTCTCTGGACTGTAGGATGTTGAAGATGCCTTCGCTTTACTGCTGGGACAGACGTGGGCTGCAGCAGTAGGGCTCCAGCCACCATGTTGTTGAACTGTTTTGAAGTCAACTCTGGCAAGAGATCAACAGCCCATGTTATCTGGGGAGATCATGTCTGTGTCCCAGGATCATCCTGTGGAGATGTGACCTAATCTCTGTGCTCAGAGTGCACGTCAGAGATGTTAGCCAGAGATGTTGATGGTAGCAGGGCTTCTGACTGGAGTTGGTGGCATTACTGTGTACCCGCTGAACACTTGGGAGAAGAGGGATAACTGCAAGAGGAGATGATCTTTGTGTATGCCTATGAACATATTCTCCACAGAAAGTCATCAGATCACAAGGGACCTCTCCCCAAGGAGGCCTATAGTGCCTTTACAAGCAAGTTTTATGGGAACTAGAAGAAAGATTTGTTCTAGTTTCAAGCCTTCTGTTGCAGGAGTCATCAGGAGAGTCCTCAAAGCACAACTCTGTGTCAGAACTAACAATGACTGTCCCCACAACAGAGGGCTTGAGACTACTAACCTGGAAATTAAAGTTACTTACCTGTATTCAGGAGTTCTTCAAGATGGACTCTTCACCTTCACATGCATGGATGCTCCAACCGGCACACCCTGAACAGGGGAACCCTAGCTACTGTTGCCCATTGGGGCACTCCCTCACCCCTATTTTCAGATAATGTCAAATGTTCTGAAGTGAAAAGGGGCAAGGCGCTCCAGCTGCCTCGGTTCCTTCCCCTATGACCAGGTCCGTTGGTAAGACAGACTCCAAGGAAGTGGGGAAAGGTGGACGTTTCCATCTTGAACAACTCCAGTTACAGGTAAGCAATTTTTATTTCTTCTTTAAGTGTCCTCTACATATTGCCACTCATGGGATGAGCTAATGAGCAAAACATCAAACCCAGAATGGTGGGATACAGAGTCCTAATTGAACAGTGATTGAAGCCTTATCAAACTTAGCATCACACCTAGTCTCTAGGTGTGATGAGTAGTGCTTAGTAAAAGTGTGAATTGAACTCCATGTAGCTGTTCTATAAACCTCTACTAGAAGAGCATATTTAATAAACCTATAGCGTGTGTCTTTGCACTGGTAGAATGTGCTCTAAGCCCTTCAGGAAGTGGAATACTCACAAGTTTATATGCTTCTTTAATATATAGTCTCATCCATATAGATAGAGTTTGAACATTAACAGCTTGGCCCTTGTTTTTCTCCTTATAAGAGAATAATAGATTGTGAGACTGTCAAATGCATAGGTCTGTCCAAATAGTATGCTAGAACTCTTCTGGCATCCCATGTATGCAATTTGTCACCCACTCGGCTCTGAGGTTTGGGAAGAAACACTGGTAAAAACTGACTTATTGTGATGAAAATCAGAGACCACTTTAGGCTAAAACCTTGGGTGAGTACTCAACACTACTTTAACTTTATGAAAGACAGTAAAAACTCAACTCACTGAGGTGAAAGCTATTATAAAGGCTGTCTTAAGAGATAAGTGGAAAAAATGTACAATATCCCATAGGTTCAAATGGGTAATGTCAATTTATGTAAGCACTAAATTTAAATCCCAAGAAAGTACTCAGTCTCTCACTGGTGGATATAAATTATTACGACCCTTTAAGAATCTCTTAAACGCATCATGAGCAAATACCAATTTACTGTCTCAGAAATGTGGTATGCTGAAATTGTGGCTAGATGGATCCTAAGAGGACAGAGAAACACCTGACCTTTTGAGGTATAATATTCTAATATACAACTAATAAATATTTAAATATACTAATAATAGGTGCAGTATATGTATCCACATTACATCAGTTAACTCACAATAAAAGCCTTTTCCAGTTATGATAACAACACTAGTGTGTAGACTCTTTCCTTGAATTAGCCAGAACATTTTGTAATTCTAATGAACAAGATTGTTCTAACAATCCCAGAGTCTTTTGGCCCAAGCAATGAAGTGATGGAAGATCTGAATGATACACCTTCCCTTGCTGTTGTGACAAGTCTGGTACTAATGGTAGGAGACTAAGAATCTGTACCTTCCCCTGTACTTGTGAACTGAGTCTGGATATATCACTGCTATCTGGACCACAATGGCACTATTCAGATCATCTTGGCCTCGTATTTTATTTTATCTATCACCCTCTGGTTGGGATGGAACAGTGGGAATGCTTCGCTGCCAACACTTCTTGTAACAGAATTGCCTGAAACCTATTCTCCCTCTCCTTTGGCTGGATTGCAAACATGAAGGTGCCTCCTCCCAAGCATGCAAACATTAGGCACTTAAGATATGGATCCAGAAGAGTCCCAGAATGATTCCTAACACATCAGTTGGTCATAGTTGGAAGGAACTGAAGTGGCTGGAGCATTATAGCACTTTTATACCCTTGCCTCAGAATGTTCGCAGAGGGAGGCATGTGAGTGCTCCAGTTGGCACTA